CTAAGTTGCATTATCTCGAAAGGGTTATTAAAGAAACTCTCCGACGATACTCAAGTGTACCTGGTGTATCAAGACAATTAACTGAGGATGTGAAACTCGGTATTAACCAACAAAGATGAATAACTATTGTCTCAGAGAATTTGTTAATTGATGATAAATATAATTCAATCTGGTTTCTAGGTAATTATACAGTACCTAAGGGTTGTATAGTGAGCCTGAATATTTCTCAGATGCATACCGATCCAGAAGTATGGAAAGATCCTCTGACCTTTGACCCTGATCGTTTTCTACCAGAGAACTTGAAGAATCATCATCCATACGCCTTCGTTCCATTTAGTGCAGGACCGCGAAATTGCATTGGACAGAAATACGCCATGCTGGAAGCAAAAATTATCCTCGCGACTGTTTTCCGAAAATGGAGAGTCAAGAGTCTACTGAAGTATAGTGAGATGAAGGTGATCCACAAGTTCATAATGAAACCGGTTTGCGGAATTAATTTATATTTCACACCAAAATAAATTGCAAGTAATAATGTTACTGCAATTGTTTATCATACTGTTATTGTATTGTAAATTTAACGATATATTTTAAATCCATGTTACGTGTATTGCGACACGTTAGAGATATCATATCGAAACCATTCTGTCAAATTATCTCGCACTTTATCAAAGTATCGAACACTCTATGCTCTTTACGTTTTATTTTTTACATTAAACTTGTATTTACCGTTGATACGCATAGTGTATTGCATACGGAGGTGACATGTAGGATGCCACCTTAATAGTGCACATATGTAAACTACTCTTTGATTATTCGACTAACAATGACAAGCACTTTTTTTGTACATGTCTTCGACTTATAATTAACGATCACGGCAGATTAAATATGATGATAACGTTGGATATACCGGCGAGTGATGTACGTACAAAGGAACCTTGAAAAAACATCACGTTATATAATATCGTGAAACGGAAGTATGGCGCTGTGATAGAAAAGTCCTTTCGTCACTGAAATATAGTCATATGTAGGCTCATTATCTTATCGAAATGTAATTTGTAAGCCCATTGAGTGGTATTAGACGTCGAACTTTGACTTTCAGTATGGAGCATGGTTTTATGTAGGATCGTCGTACAGAGAGTGAAGAATCAATCGCGTGAACCCTGCTACACGTCGGAAGAAAACTTGCTGAACTGAACTTGCTGAACTTAATTCTTTTACGTTGTATAAAAATAATGTATTTAAGTGAGGTAGGATTGTGGAGAATCACGCTCAATATTCGTTGTAATTCTGCAGCCGGTGAATTGTGAAACCGTTGTAATTTTATAACGGGTTGTGTAATTTTGCAGATATGACGAAAGTAATTGTAGTACTACCATTTGTTATAATCTGTAAGTGATATTATTCAGAGTTTTTAAAAAGTGTTTAATAAAAATAACTTTCGGTCGCATTAAAGAAATAACTAAGATGAATTTAAGCGAATCATTATTGACGTCTGTGGGGATCGTCATTGCTTTGTGGATTCTGGATTTATTGTATAGGAAATACAAAATTCGAAAGATAATTGATAAAATACCAGGGCCCGTGGGGCATCCGATATTTGGCTTTTCGTTTGAAATTCTTAAGCAAAAAAGAGAAGGTATTTACTATCAACAATAGATTGTTTAATTTGTATTGTAAGCATGACGAAATAGGGTTGCATAATGATACGTCAATATTTTATTTTTTCTCTTTCATCACGCAGATCGTGACGCTTGGTTCGATAATTTGTGTTATGAATATAAGGAAGGAATTGTTAAAACATGGTTCGGAACGAAAGCAGTAATTCATATTCGTAAACCTGAGTACTTGGAGGTAAATAAAACATTTTTTATAAATTATACTATGCGTAAATATAAAATCGTTGTAGGTCATTATGCGAAGTACAACGCAGATTAAAAAATCATACTTAATGGACTTCATAAAACCATGGCTGGGTGAAGGAATTTTAAGTTCGACAGGTAAGACGAGAAGAATGTTTATTGATAAACTGTGCGTATAGATATAAAGTATAGATAAAAGTATAATTTATTGTTCCCAGGTCAAAAATGGTTTCATCATAGGAAGTTGATAACACCGGCATTTCATTTCAACATACTCGATGAATTTTCTGAGGTTATGACGAATCATGCGGAAACACTGAACGAGCAGATTGAAAAAATATATAATGAAAATCCTGAAGAACCCATTGACGTATTTCCTGTGATTACGAAATGCACATTAGATGTGATCTGTGGTAACTATTACGGATTTGATTTTGTTTTTAAATAACTATTATAGCGGAGCTGCAATATTAAATACATTTTCTCTTCAGAGACAGCCATGGGGGTAAAAATGAATATCAAGTATGGCGAAGGAAAGGAATACACAGAGGCTTTAAGCGAGTAAGTTTTATTTGAGAGACTTCGAGAGTGACAAAATTATAATTTCTGTTACTAATAATATATATAGCAAACACAATGTTACGTCTAACTCGTTTGTTAGGTAGAATATGTTCCTCGCTTATATAACGCCAACTGGCACATTGACGTTACATAAATGAGGAGCCCATTGTAACTGACGTGTGAATTACATATAATATTGTTTTTCCTGGGTTATTGCTTTAGAATACAAAATCTTACGATGGAAAGATTCTTTAATCCATGGTTTCAATGGGATTTTATTTATTATCAACTTCCAATAGGAAAAAAGTACCAATCTATTATTGACAAATTACACAACTTTACTAACGAGGTAAATAAC